CTTTCCGCCATCCATTTGAAGTTGAAACAGACTACAAAATGTTTGAGAGAAATGGAAAAACATGATCTCTTTGATTCATAGGAATTTTGAAAACAAAAACAAGCATGCTAAATGTCTCTGAAGGACTTCAACATTGATCATAGACACACTTCTTGGAGAGGAGCATTCACAGAGGACAACACATAGCAGCAGGCTTCACGAATAATTCGTACAGTAGACAGGCTGAAGCCAAGAGAGAAACCGGCAAGATGTGCAGATCTACAAATGGAAATGCTCAAAACATGGCAAACTCTTCTTTGCTAGAATTAAGCCACAATGATCTAAATCCTTATTTTTTCTTTCCCCATTAAATTAAAAATTAATATTCTCCTATGTAGCTGCATTCGCCAGCGCCAGACGTTGACAGATGCTTCCATAATAATACAAATAAATAAAATAAATGACATTTTATTGATCTCCATGGGGAAATTTGGCTACAATGGCAAACATACATCGCAAATACATAATTAGAAATACATACATACGCAAATACATAATTAGAAATACATACATACGCAAATACATAATTAGAAATACATACATACGCAAATACATAATTAGAAATACATACATACGCAAATACATAATTAGAAATACATACATACGCAAATACATAATTAGAAATACATACATACGCAAATACATAATTAGAAATACATACATACGCAAATACATAATTAGAAATACATACATACGCAAATACATAATTAGAAATACATACATACGCAAATACATAATTAGAAATACATACATACGCAAATACATAATTAGAAATACATACATACGCAAATACATAATTAGAAATACATACATACGCAAATACATAATTAGAAATACATACATACGCAAATACATAATTAGAAATACATACATACGCAAATACATAATTAGAAATACATACATACGCAAATACATAATTAGAAATACATACATACGCAAATACATAATTAGAAATACATACATACGCAATTACACACATGCACAAATAGGCTTAAATTACATAAACAAAATTAATACTACAAACATGCCATTGCTGGTCGCCCTGTCCCCGTGGTTTTATACACCCTACATAATTTAGCAAAATTTGATCCTTTTTTTGCATAATTTTATATTATTTTCCTTTATCATTCTTTGTTAAAATTAACAGATACGCATAATTTAACATTTTTTGGGGCTCAGTTTGCATAATTTCAGAATTTTTCTAGGATAAAACAAAACGATGGGGACAGGTCGCCACTGTGCAGCGCCCTGATATCCCCCCCCCCCCTTAAAAAAAATTAAGCCAAGGTTGTGTCGTGTCTTGCTCGACGACACAATCCCAATGACCACCCATGTAAAGTTACCGTAAACTAGAGCTGGGCAATGAGTCGCTTCAGCAAAATCCGGATAATATTTTAGTGCACCTCTTCGGCTAAAAATATGATACGAACCGCTTCGGCAAATGGGTTAGAACCACTTTGACAAACGGGTAATCATCACTTCAACAAAAGAGTGCACCCACTTCGGCAAACGGGTCAGGAAAGAGAGTTAAGAGTCTGAAATCGGATAATGTTTCATTGAGAATTATCCGGTTATCCTTTTGGGTTATCCGGATTTTGCCCACCTCTACCGTAAACCCTGTGTCACCGACACTTGCTTGACATTACTTTTGAGTTGGAACTAACTATTAACTTAGCCACAATAAATTTAAAGCCTTGACTTTAACTTGTCTGTAAATTAATTTAAAGCTTTTGATTTGTAAATCATAATTATTACGATTTAAAAAAAAAAAGAATGAAGGTGGCTTTGCGCCCATATCGTGTGGAGCTGGAGTTGTGGACTCTTTGCTGCGGTATGTTCCTCTTACTTCTTTTTGTAGCTACTAAAAAGTGACATTGATAAACAACGCATAATATGGGCCAGAGTACATAATATTATTATGTATTGTTGTCATTACTTCTCTTAGTCAGTTTCTATTCTGGGTACTTCTAGGCTCTGAAGTGGTTTGCACCTTCATTCCTATCAAACTTCTGTCGCCCTTATCTCTCCTTCTTTTTTGTGTTATGTTACTCTAAAGTAACACTTCTAATCTTCGGCACTTGTTTGGCAATTTTGTTTCAAGTTCAAGTGCCATAAAACTGTTATGAAAACTAAATTGTCAGATAGAGCCCTTATTTTGATGACTCATCCTTAGTTAAGCGCTAGTCCTACTCAGGCGAAGGTGAAAAGTCACGAGTGCGGTGCATATTTTTCATTAAATGCAGTCGGGAATGTTTACACAAAGCTAAATGCCCCTCGAAAAAGGTTCAGTGCAAAGGCACCTGCTCTATGTCTACATTGATACATTCCATCGCGTGGCATGTTGGTACTTCGCTGCCACACGCAGGAGACACACATTTAATCTCGTGTTGGAAATTTCTTTTTTTTTTTACTACCGAGTAATTCCATCTGTCTGCTGGAATGTTGTATCGCTCTCAACCATAAAACTCTCTCTCTCTCTCTCTCTCTCTCTCTCTCTCTCTCTCTCTCTCTCTCTCTCTCTCTCTCTTCCCCCCTTCTTTTCTTTGTATGTTACTTTGGCACTTATATGACCCATTTGTGTAATCTGTTCCGCTTCTCATGTGGGTTTAACCGGTGCAATCGGAAGAGGGGGAAAATTGATTGGGGGTGTCAGTTTTCCCCCCCCCCCCCCCCCCCCCCGCCCCACTAATATGTTGATAGGGTCATTAAAGTTTAATTTAAACTCACACATTCACTTACGTTCTTACTAAAAACAAAAGTAAAAGATTCAGGACCTCCGATTTGACACTATGGTCAGACATGACGGAGCTAAGTTTGATAGAAAGACTTGATGAAAACTCCTCAAATGTCCTTAGCGCATGGCGGGTGGTTGGAGGGTACCACTGGTAGATCCTACTTCTTTTCTTTCGTTCTATCTAAATTGTTTTTACCTGTCTGTTTCTTTTTATTTTACCTTGCATTAAAATTAAATGACTTTTATCATATCATTGAACATCTCTTTATTCCAATACATAAAGAAAGACAGAAAGAAAGAAAGAAACAAACAAACAAATCAAGTTCGTGAACGATCAACTGGGGGCTTGAACCAGCGCCATACGTATAATTGAGAAGCAGAAAGCCAGCTGAGCCACGCACACACACACACACACACACACACACACACACACACACACACACACACACACACACACACACACGTGCGCGTGCGTGCGCGCGCGTGCACACACCTACACACACACTCACTCACTCACACACACACACACACACACACACACACACACACACACACACACACACACACACACTTTCTATTAGCTATAAAGAAGGGACAATACTCTGTGCTTCTAGGAATAGTAAAATAACAACAGCGCTCTCCCGTGGCAGCGGAAACGTTCTGTTACGCATGTTCCGGAAGTTGTAACCAAGGAAACAAAGGTAGCTTCGTCTCCTTTCAGAATCTCCTCTTGTTGCCTGTCCTGTGTTTTCGGTTCGGAATACAAGTCATATAACGAACCATAATGGCAACCCAAATGGAGGGACCCTTCGACTTTACAGCCACCAATGTTCTTGGTGATCAGCGTAATACTATGCTGTACAATGAGCTGCATTTACGGGTAGGTTATCAATATTATCGTTGAATTGTTGTTCCTTCACCATGACCATAATCATCACAATAGTTAGTTGCCTACTAATGCATTAGATCTAGATCTAGATATCTAGTAGTATTAATATACCATGCTAATTAGATCATATTGCATGCTTAGTTACTTCAATTGTTCAACTTATAATAATGATAGTGTAGATTTAAGTCTAGTATTAATTAACAGGTGTTTATTTTATGTTGTAAGAGTTAAGAGGAGCCTAGTGTGCGCTGTAGTGTAGTCTACAGAGAGACAGATCTTTATTAATTTTAAAGGCCAGAAACCAGAAGGGCATATTTAATACAATTTTATAGGAAGAAGTCAACAAGTTCAAATACCTGAGATACATGATAACAACACTATGGAAGATGTACAGGTTATAGTTACCATAATTGAGGTGCATTCCTATGCTTCCAATTTTGACAGACGTTCAATAGTTTTGGACTGAATGATTTATGATGAAAAAGAGGTTGATGAATGCAACACAAGAAAGCAACACTCAAAGCTGACATAGTGTTTTAGAAGACCTAGACTGCCAATTATTACCTGTAGGAGATGTAGAAAATCTCAAATTACCTGTAGCCTGTAGGTGATGAGGAAAATCTCAAGCATGGGAGTATTAAAACAAATCAACCCAAAAAGTAAAAGAATTTATCTTTTTTTCCTTTTCATTTAAAAAGTTAGGTAGATCTACTTAAGAGAAAATTTGGTTTATGCTACCGTTATGTTATTTGAGTTTTTGAAGGCAGGTTCTCAGAGAGGTAGGCCTAGCGATCAATATAATTTGTTTTTATCACCCCCTTTATGGAAGCTTTACCATTTCAGCTTCCGGAGGACCCTGCATGTCAGCCCGCAGGAGGGAAGCGTTATATATGTAGCCTACTGTTCTGTTAAAGTTAAAGTCTATTGCCATTCATTTTTTTCTTTCTGTATGTCTATAGGTGTTTCGCTCCCCCATTGACATAGTTTAGATAATTTAGGAGCTTTGATTGATTTGCCTGTCAGGGCCAACCCATGCTGAGAAGGGTACAAAATCAAAGAAAAAAACCAAGATACCGAATTAAAATTCTCCCCTCATGTTGGGAATCGAAATTAGGCCTTCTTCGTGCAATGGAGAAATGCCGAACTGTTACTCCTCAGAAGCTGGTAGTCTGTTGCAAGTAATACAGTGATAAAACTAATATATATTACTTAAACATTTCTACTTTCTCTGAAATATTTCTCACACACTTAAGACTACAGTATCTTTATTCTATTGTAACATACTTATTAGATGGAAGCATTTCAAGTAAAAATTCAGTAGAAATTAGTCTAATGCGAAGTGTGGAAACTGTTCGATCCCTGTTTCTGACGTTGAACAGTACTTTTTTACTTTAGGTTAATTCATCTGGACTGAAACGTAGGTGCAGCTGAGAGTGTCCAAGACAGCCACCCATTGTATTGAAAAAATGGTTGTCTTAGGCAGGTGGGCATTTTGGACAATATAGTGTCTTTATAATGTAGAAAACCCCCCCAAAACACAAGTAGGGAAGAGATAGGTGGTCATTTTTACCGGTGATTGTCATGCTCAGATGGCCATTACAGCAGGTTAGACTTTGAATTATGAATGTAATATTTTGGAAGTTATCAGGAAAGTATAGAATAATATGCATTTATTTACATTGAATTGCATAAAACTCATTCCCTAGGACAAAGTTGGCAGTGTGAAAACTCGAGGATTTGAACTGCCAGGAAAACATTTCACATATGGCCTTCCCAACGACAGACGGGACTACACAGCAGCCCACGGTAACTCTTACCCTCACGTTAACTCTAAGTATTATAGGAAGGCTTTTCTATCTTTGAACACAGCCAATTCAGTGAATGGTTGTTTGGCGAGAGTTCTAGTGTTGTTTTCTCTTCGGTCCTATCAAAGATCCAATGTCCTTATAATATCTCCCTCCCCCGATTCAGTGCCACTGACTGAAGTGTCTTTAGGCCCTTCCCAAAGGGGGGACATTTCTCGTTTTTATGCACAGATGCTCATAACTGTGCCTGAATTACAACACGGAACTGCTGCTTTTTCTTTCCTAATCCTTACTATCGTCATTTTCCTCTTTTTCTTTTGTATGTTTGACCCTCTCTTGTGACCCGCTATTTCCGGGGTGCCTTGAAAGTCCAAACAGACTTTGTACTGTTTAAGTTAGAGAGGTGAACAGAATAAGCCAGATTCCCTGTAAAGACTTCTTTGTTGTCATCCATCCCTTGGCGCTCATATTACCCTATGCAGTTGCGAGCGCTGAAAAATCTTTACTAAAACAAACAAACATATAATATCTACTTCTTTTCTTTATGTTACATTCTTGTAATACTTCTACTTTTTGCACTTATATGACCTATTTGGGCATAAATTCCAGTAAAACTCCTAGTAAAACTAAAACTAAACAATTTTACAATTCAATTTTTTTGCATCACAAACTTACCAAAACACAATCTTATTTAAGCTATTTGCATGAAATAAATGTTAGACTCTGAAAAAGTGAATTATCTTTGCAATAAACGTACAGTTTTATTTTGTGTTGGAGTTTCGTAGATTTTTGTAGTGACTGTAAAATGCAGCAGTGTGATGCTGTGTGCCAGCTGAACTGGCCCATCGTATACTCAGGGTCAATAAAACTTTAAAGAAAAGCCTCAAATATAGTTGTTACTTACTTTTGTTAAAGAACTTAAATCTGATTTTCCCCTAATTTTCTGAAAGTGTTCATTGTGGTTTAAAAATCATAGTGTTGTTGACAAGATAAGGGATAGATTAATGAATAGATCAAGATGATTCTCATGCTGATTCAGGGCATTTGGCTTTGAAATTTGTGAAATGTGTGAGGTGCATGTATGAAGAAAAGACGACTTATCTTTTTAAGACAATTTCTGTTTGCAAACTTGGTTCTTCAGCTCTCCGCGGCTGGACTGGCACCTATCTCCCCAAAGGAGGAGCGACAAAGTCAAAGTCTGCCACTGAGCGTGACTTCATGAGTCTCAACAGAGCTTCCATCGCTGCTGGATTGGTGAAAGCTCCAGAAAACTCCGACTACAGAGCCACGCATGACATCCGCCGCCTGCCATTTGATCAGAAGGAGATGGCCGGGAAGATGAGGTCGAGGAGGCTCCCGCCCACCATGGTTTTTGGCATCCCAAGCAGGTGAAGTAGCGCAACAACTAAAACGTGCACTGCCATTTATGAATGAATTTTAATCAGTTGTAATTATCACAATTTACACTCAGTTTGCCCGTTCATGTCTTATGATGGCCAGTCAATCAGTAGAGGAGAATGTTTCTTAACCCTATACGTACGTCATGTTTTATTAGCATATATATATAACATGGGGAACTCTGTGCCCCCACTTTCCAAAGAGGAAATTTACTCGTTAATCCGATCCGTACGCTTTGCATAGTACACTGTCAAAATGATTTTTTGAGAAATACTGAAAGTTTCAAAGAGATCTTCGCACTAGAAGTATTGTAAAATGAGATGAATACAACCCCTGGGGTACAAAATGACTTCAGTCGTATGGATAGAGTTGAAGAGAAATGGAAGGGTAGATCTAGGCCTTGAGAAAAACAGGGAAAAAACTTTTCACTTTTTGTTGTGTACAGCTTGCAGGCTTCTTTCTTGGCTTCAAAATTCCTAATTTTACTTTCTAATCTTTCTATTCTTTCTCAAGCTCTTACCTTCCTGAAAAAGTTGTCCTTCTTTCCAGTCAAACATGTCTCATCCTTATCTCCCCTCCTTCTTTCCAGTCAAACATGTCTCGTCCTTATCTCCCCTCCTTCTTTCCAGTCAAACATGTCTCGTCCTTATCTCCCCTCCTTCTTTCCAGTCAAACATGTCTCGTCCTTATCTCCCCTCCTTCTTTCCTATCAAACATGTCTCATCCTTATCTCCCCTCCTTCTTTCCTATCAAACATGTCTCGTCCTTATCTCCCCTTCTTCTTTCCAATCAAACATGTCTCATCCTTATCTCCCCTCCTTCTTTCCTATCAAACATGTCTCGTCCTTATCTCCCCTTCTTCTTTCCAATCAAACATGTCTCGTCCTTATCTCCCCTTCTTCTTTTTTTATATTTGTTACTCTCTTGTAACACCTCTAATCTGCTGGCGCTCATACATGACCTTACGCAGTTGCTAGCACCGTAAAACCTCTACTAAAACCAAAAGTAGTCCAAATTATGTGTACGAGCCCAAGGACTGATTATAATCCATAGCAATATCTTGCCCTCAGACCCTCCACTCCAATCTTTGACCTCCTGGAGCACAAGTACCAGGACAAGTGGATCAAGGACAGACAACATCAGCTCAGCGCCCAACGCTCCGCAGAGATTAAGGTAATGGACTTAGTCAAAAAGTCCACGGTACATCATGTGTGACCCATATACCGATACCCCCAGTGCCTTACTACACAGTTTGGAAAAAGTGCTTTGAATTTTCGGTCTTTTGTCTTTTGTTTTCAACCTTGATTGTTGGTGATATTCACTGTGACTTCATAACACTTAAAAACATCATTGACCGTTTAGCTTGCTGAAAGGTAATGAGAGTTGTCTGTTTTTATAGAGTTTGCTGTTATGATGATGAGCAAATGATTTAACCCTTCCAGCCCCAGCCATTTTTGTGCACTCCCTAACCCCAGTCCCAGCCAATACAGTAGTATTTCTGAAAAAGAGGCATTATTTCTAAAAAGTGATGTAGTATCTTTGTAATGTAGCTTTGATAATAACATATACCAATTTTTAAAGATTAAATAACAAGTAATAAGAAAATTAAAGTTTAATCAAGTTCGCTAATTTTGAAAAATGCGCGAATTCGGTACCCCCCCGAAACTGAGAATATACGCTCTTGGGACGGAGGGAGGTACAAGCGCTGCTGAAAATATATGCGCTTGGGGATGGAAGGGTTAATAATGTGGGCTTTAAAAAGATCTTCTGTCCTCTAATGTGGTTTACTTGTTTGTTTGTTCATGTGATTTGCATAACGATTTTCCTCTTCCCTAACAACAAAAGAATCGAAAATCCAAATTTTGAAAATAAAAAAAATAAACGAAAATTTAGGCTACTTGATACAATTTTTTTGAAGATTCTTCGGTTTTCTTTTCTTTTGAGTATTCTTTGCAAATTGCAAAACTCGCAGCCTTCAATTTTTGGGCTAATTTTTTTACTGGTCTAGTATTTAAATTGACAAAGCTAGCTGAAAAGTCCCACAGACAGAGTATAGGTGTTCCCCTGAATGCCTCTGTAATAATAATAATAATAATGATAATAATAATAATAATAATAATTATAATAATAATAGTAATAATAATAATGATAATGAATCATCATAATGATATTGATGAAATTGATACTTTTTCTAGCGCCCACTCTCTGGTAGCTCTCGACGCTTAACGATAAAATAAGATTCCAATCAATATTTTATTTGTATTGGCCCATTGAATGTACAAAGATCCTTTGTAATACATACACCTGTAATCTGACCGAAGAACACATACGAGTACACAGAAAGACAATTACTGTGGCTACTGATCACACTTGCCGTTGATAGAAGACTCCAATTAGTTAGTAGAATAGCCTTTGTGAGGCATCGTGGTGAAATCAAGTGCTCGTCAAAATAACGAAACTGGAGAAACAGGCATTTTCCCGTCAGTTTGGAAATTTTTATCGAATTTTTGTTTTTTTGCTCAACCCCATTTATGTCCTTATAAAAACATTTCCATGTGAATTTTACTGAAGAACGTTGATTAAAGGCACAAAATATGTCATTTTTTTGTTTTCAAGGACTCATTAGCTATTGAAGTTACCAAACTTTCTCGCTAACTTCACCACTGAAAAAAGGTGACCTCACTTCTTTCTATGGTAAATATCTTGACTTCTATTTAAGATAGGTGGGTACTTTTTTCACTGAAAGCAAGGCAAATAAATAAGCTTTTAGGTTATACCAATAACCCCACATGCCCTAAAATTGACCAGCGCCTGATTCCACCACCTTGCGACACATTTGAATAAATGCGTTTTAGACCAGATTTAAATGTGATCAGGGTTGGTGCCTCTATAGTGTTACCGTATGTGACAGTACTGTTGCAGTATTATAGTCATTGTGCAACGTAGATGGAGAGTAGCTGCGACTCTTATAGAAGATCCCTCGCTATTGTGTGCTGAAATGTGCATTGCTGTGTTTAACTGTATTAACTAATAGTAGGTAAGATGACTGTGTTTTCTTCGTGCAAGCCGTGGTTAATAGATGAAGCTTAAACCCATGCATGTTTATTAACAGTTTAGTTTCAATGGGCAATCTGTCTTCTGTCGTTCCTACGTGTCCTTTCTGTTAAAAGAGCTGCTTTAAGTTCTGTGTTTATATATATATAGATAGGCCTTTATAATATATAAAAATGAAGCTTTGATTTCATATTGTTAATACCACACAAAAAAATGTGAATGTTGATAAACCGTAAGAAATCTTTCAATGGCAACTTGGTAATATCTTTCCATTTTCATCGTTCGAAAGGAATTTCAAATGGTGATTGTGCTATGGTTGTGTTAATAAATAAAAGATCTTAAATGATAAAATCACACTATTCTATAGCAGTTGTAAATATCATAATATTCTTAATGAAGCTATAGAACCGTAAGGATTTTTAAAAATCTTTTATTTTTGCGCATGTCGGTTTTTCATTATGCATGAGGGTGATGGAATTTCTTGTACTTGTATGAATAGAATCGCTTAAACAGTCCGTCAGTTGACTGGGCTTTGAACTTTTACCTTGTGTGCTGTGATCCCATTCTATTCACATCCTGACCAAAACTGACCTCCACAGAAAAGAGCTATGTCCGCACCCGCAGTAAGTCAGCGACAGCCATCATTGTAATTATTTCTTAGTCGTTTTTGGTTCCTGGAATGTGTGAGACTCTTGCATTGCACGAATGTTCTTTCGAAATACCCCCTTTTGTAACTTGCTTTTTGAAAAAGCATCAGTGCATGAAACTTTTCTATTACCCCAGTGATACTCCTCTTTGATTATGTTTTCTGGTCTGTATTATATTTTTTAGATTTGACCCTTTTGTTTTTATAACAGTCTCACAAATACTGTGAGATTTTTTTTTTTCACTCTCAGTAGACATTTCTGTATCATTTGCCTAATTATGCTTAGCAGTAAAAAAGGTTTCTTCGTGTATCGCTTCAATAATTGCTATGATACCCAGTTGCACCAATTATTTTTCCAGTCCTCAAATATCCGAGTTCTAATGCACATTATATTCTGTTACAAGCACAAATCCTATAAGCCATCCAGTAGCATTATCAATACTTTGAACACTTCCAAAACTGATGATCTGAACTTACCACTGGAATCTTTCACAGCTTTTGAGACTTGTCTGAATGATGATGTAAGTGGTTAACACTCTATCTCTGACTCAAAAGTTCTTAATCAAATGATGTAGCTGTTTTAAATCCTTTAGAATGAAAGTTCTTAATCAAACGAAGTAGCTGTTTTAAATCCTTTAGAATGAATTCCACTCTTGTATACACCATCTATTATAGGCCTATAATTATAATAAGTTGTTTCATAGTCTTTCCTCATTTTTTTTGTTTGATAACATGACAGTGTAACAACTGCTCACTGAACAAGTAGATACTGAATGTTACAATTTAAAAAATTGTCTTTACTTTCCTGTTTAGCAAAATGTTTTGTTAGCATCACAGCGCCTGAACAATAGAACTGTGATTAGAAGACCTCCTTTATAGTACCCAGGTCTGATTTGTTCTGTTTAGCTGAGCTTTCTAAATTTCAACATGCTTTTACTATATTCAGAATTTAAGATCCCTGGAATTGAGACGTACAGGATGTTTTTCAACTTAAGGGGACTTCAAAGAAGATAAAAATTGATTATTGATGACATTCGATCTTTTAGCAGTATGGCTTACTTTGACAGTTGCAGTTCGCTGTTATATTAAGAAGGGCATGTCAGAATGTTCATTTTGATTAGAAGAAAATTGTTTTATACTGATTTGTGCAACTTCAGAAAAATCTAGCATCAGGGTTAAAGAATGAGAAACATTAAGCTAGATTACTACTATTTGTTTGAGTTTGCTTGAAATTTATGTTGTTTGTGAATTCTTATTAATCTCAAAATCTCCTGATGTCCGACTAGGGAAAAAAAAAGGAATAACAACATTGCCTAGCTTAGGCCATCATATATTCTTGGCAGCTGGGCTGGTTATTTTGGAACTTGTAATTAAAAACATAATTAGCATTTCTAATGTAGCCTTTGACACCATCTTGTTTCTGAGTTAATGTATAAATATATGGGGCTGTTTGTTTGTTGTTGTTGTTTTTTTTGGGTTTTTTTGGGGTGGGG